CATGGATGGGATGTTAAAGCTGTTGATTGGCATCCACATAAATCGCTTTTAGCATCCCGATCAAAAGATAATTTAATTAAATTTTGGGATCCGAAATCTGGAAAAAGTGTTTATACACTGTATGTAACAATATATTATGTATAGATTAATTTTTTCGAGTATAACTAATGCTATGCTATAAATTTTCAGTCATGGGCATAAAAATACAATTCTTGGACTGCAGTGGAATAGGAATGGAAATTGGCTAGGAACAGCTGCCAGAGATCAATTAGTTAAGGTTTATGATATTAGGATGATGAAAGATTTACAAACGTTTCGTGGGCATAATAAAGAAGTTTGCTGTGAGTGTTAAAATTAAATCTGAATGACATTTGTGTAAATCAGCACATTGAATTAGTTAAATATACGATTTATAGTCCCAACGGCTATTTCATGGCATCCATTTCACGAAAGATTATTAGTGACTGGTGGTTCAGATGGGTGCTTGATGTTCTGGATTGTTGGGTTAGTTTTGGTTTCATTGTATCATTATAGTGATAAAGTTTTATACAAAATTTTGGTGACATTTTATTTATTCTTATTAGTCAAGATACTTTGGTGGAAGCAGTGGAATTCGCACATGATCAAAATGTTTGGTCACTTGATTGGCATCCTCTTGGCCATATCTTGGTCTCGGGGTCAAATGACCATTCAACAAGATTTTGGACGAGAGCACGTCCTGGAGATACAGTTCAAGACAAATATCATGTGGGTAGGCAGAAAGCCGAGGAACTCGGATTGAAAGATGTAGATAGTGACGAAGGTATGTTTTAAATGTTTTCGTTTTATTTGATTTATATTTTGTATATTTAACAAATTTTAACACTAATTCTACCTATTAGATGATGATCCTGTCCCAGGTTTAACATTCTTTAATGGTGGCTTGATGAGCGGCTTTCTCCCAGTTCCCATGAATCCTCATCCTGCGGTTAGAACAGATTTCGTTCAAGCACCACAGTCACTAGTACAAATAGACCAGAATCGAGATCTCACACCACCTAGACCAATGGATATTGGAGACATTTCTTATGTATCTACAAGTAGTGTCAACATTGAAGATGTACCTGGGCTTGGAATGTTACGTAATAATATACCGTTGAATCCTTCACCACAACTACGCCCTCAATGGACAGCGCCAAATACTGGACCTACACCAAGACCTGGTACACAGCAACAGGGTCAACGTTGGGGTGGGCAAAGAGGTGGAGGATACCCAGGATCGCGACCCAAACCTTTTTTTGAATCATAACATTATTACATGGTTTGGAATAATAAATATATGTCCATTCTTAGTCAATAGTATCAAATTCAAAAACCAATCAAATTTGTTAATGCTATAAATTATTTTAAAACATTGTTATTTTTATTTTTAAGAGGGGTTTAACGACTAAGCAGGATATATTGAATAAAATGATACGTTAGATCTAATGATTATATTCAATATGTATACAATAAGTGAGAAACAATTATAGAAATGAAAGCTTTTACCATCCAAAATAAAATTCGAATTGTAAATAATAAACTTTTCGATCAAGTTTCCATCGAAATTCGACTAAAAGTACCTAATAATTTTTAGAAGTAGAAACCTTTAATAAAAATCGATCCTTATATATAGTTCACCCATTGTTGTTAATAAATGAACTTTCTGACTTGACCAAAATCATGATCCAATTTCTAATTTGAATCGCGATGAGAAAACTATCGAAACTCTGACAAGGCAATTATTTGAAAGGAGTATAAAACTGTCAATTGGACCAGGCTAATCGGTATTTATTACTAGAAAATCAAAATCTAATAATGGACCGATCAAGATTTTTTCCGTTAGACATTGCGATTTGTCTTGTAAGTAGTTCTCTATATCCGAGTTACAACATGATATAATTAAAAACGAGACATACGACCAATAGTGTTTGTAGTCAATACAGATTTATCGACTTGATGAGTTGATATTTGAAAATCGATTAAGCCGACTAAGTCGAGTCAATTACTCAATATATATTTCCTGAAATTTTCATGTATTCATACTCTTTTCCGAAATTTTCTTCTATGTTCATAATCTTCGACTCAACTAAGTCGATCTTTTAAAAAATCTGTCGACTATGTCGATTTTATTGATTAACATCAAATCGACTACAATCACTAATCCCTAGTCATCCATTTGAAGATTATTCCAAAGCTATAGATTGCGTTAATAAGCGGTGAAGTAAAGCATCATTATGAGCCAAAATTCCAAGAACGGCTGAATTCGAAGGTACAGATGCCCTTTTATAGTTTAAATTTCATTATCCGTACTTTTTTGGTTTTCTTTGATGAATTAAAATATTAATATACCAGGAAATAAATCAAGTGTTAATAAATATCTCATTATAAAATTATTAATTGGTTGCAATTAGGCTATACAAAAATTTTTTTTTGGTTTTTATAACATAGAACTGTTTAAACAGACCCAACCAGCAGCCTTTTGTTTTAAATTTTATATATATAAATTTTATAAATTTTTTAAAAATTTTTTTTAAAAACCCGTCTAGTTATTAAAATTTTTTTGCGTTTTCAAATTTTGACCCGGCCGGATTATGAAAACCAAAAAAAAAAAAATTTATATAGACTTAGTCCAATTGACAGCATTAAGTTATCATCAAATTTTGTCAAGACTTCAATGTTAAGTCTGATACAGTAACATAAAAAAATTGTGTCAAATCACATGTAACAGTGGGGTGTTCGGTAAACTATGTAAATCAAAACTATATATTATTAAAGATTTTTTGAATTTTTGTGTAACAAAGGCAATCGATACAATGTATTATTATACAAATACGGTATCTA